AGAGAGAGAGAGATAGAGAAAGAGTTTCAAGGAAAAAAGTTAGAAATGTGCTACGTGCCATTTCTCAGCTGCGTCTGGGAACATTAGCGATTCAGATGGAAAGTGGTCAGTGGTTGGCTGCCAGCCTAATGGCATGAAGGCAGGATAGAGATGTGGCGCATGATCACTATCTTCAAGTGTGTGTTTATGTTTCCATCTGCATATGTGTATAAAAATGCACATGAGCTACATATGTTTGAGCAGATGCATGGGGTGTGTGTCTGAGTGGACTAAAGTGCATCCATGCATGTGAGGAATGTGTGTATGTGTACAGTACATACTGTATGTGCTGGACAGTTACATGCGGCTAATTACAGCCGACTGAGAGCAACACGACTGCGTGTTCAATACGCGTGTTCGTCGTGTCTCCGATGATTTTGACGTGGTCCCACCAGAGAGGAGGAAATACAGGCCCTTAAACAGATGTTGTATTGCATTGGTAGTTTGTTATTTGTTTTTAGCATGGAGATTTTACAAAAATACATAAATTATAATATTTGTTCAAAAATACAAATAAGCTTTTGCATGTATTTGGTAGTGTGAAACAGTTTTTTTAAACTGTATTTAGATTGTCGGTTAGATTCCAAGCCTATAAACAGACCTTGATCATTGAATAATTCCCACAAAACCCTGGATTATGACATTTTTTATGTTCGGTGTCACATTTTAAAAATTGCTTTTATTTATACAAGATCTAGACGTGACTATCGGATGATCATCAGTGATGAAGGTACTGTTAGGGACATTACTAACACTTGACAATAGCTATGTTACGAGAGAAAAGGTCCATACTGCTAACAACTGTCCCAGTGACAAGGTGCAGCTACCGTTTGACGTTGTTTTTGTTTTTCTGTGAATATCTGACTACAGAAAAGATTGTCGACTACAAACGGGCAACGGACAAACTAAAAACTGGATGTAGATAGGGCCTTTCACAATTTCAGGCACCACTATAATTTCTCCTACATGCTTGGAAGGGAAGGGTGAAGCGAGCAGTATTCAATTGGTTGCAATCTGCAGCCTCACCGCTAGATGTCACTAAATCCCAATGGACCTTTAATACAATCAATGTGGCAGCGCAGCTAAACCTTGGCTATGGTAGGATAGCTAAAATTCCTGGTAAAAAGGAATAGTTCGACACTTTGGGAAGTACACTTATTCACTTTCTTGCTGACAGATAGATAAGAAAATCCATACCACTCTCATGTCTGTACACTAAATATAAGTCTACAGCCAGCAGCTGTTTAGCTTAGCATAGCATAAAGACTGGGAACAGAGGGAAAGGGACTTATCTATGAAAAGGAAATTAAAACAGGGCAAGCATTCCCAGAAAAGAAAGTAAAAAAACACCCACATTCTTTATCCCAAGCCCACAAAAATGTGTCTGCATGCCTCAAACTATAGCCAGAGATATCCTTTAATTGCACTCTAGTATCAGTTGACATAACGCTGACATACTTAAGACTATAATGCAATCAGTCAAAGCCCACTTTCCCCGATCCAAAACACCTCAAAGAATACAGAGAGAGAAGGTAAAAAAAAAAAAAGCTTCTTCAGTAAACATGCATGTGAGTCTGACTTTCAGCAGACCACACTGAAAACCACTTTGCCACTACAAAAGGCAAAGGCACATGAACAGATCATCTCTTACTCCCAGGGTAAACATAGCTGCTGTGGTTAATTCATATGGGATTAGGATGGTTCATTTGATGACATCATTACACACATACACGCACACACACGTGGATGTATCGTATTTCAAATGATTACTAAACAATCTAATCTTTTCCCAATGGGACACCTGCTCAGTACTCAAACCTTTACTCTGTTTTCCACATGTGTAATGTATCTTTGATCGCACAGCATTATATGGCTTTTAAAAATAACTCCTTTTTGACACAGGCCACACCTTATCTCCTGGCACAAAGATGCCGCCACATGTGCTGCCTTCTCCTTTCCTGCTGTCGCTTCACGAAGAACAATGATTATAATTACAGCCGGGATGATAACAGCTCTGAATAACAGTGGCTGTGCATTCTGACAGGGTAAGCCCATTTGAATACAGTATAAATTTTAAGTACGAATGTGTTACTGATGAAGAAAATAGTTCCTGTTTTCCAAATGTGACCTTGTGCTCCCCAGTACAGAGAGCTCTTCATATCTTCTTCTTGGTGAAACACTAAATTGTGAAAAATGTCATAGACTCAATGTACATATAATAACTACACTGCCCTACACAGCCAAACCACAGAAACTAATTTACACATTTGGTCAAAATGAGTAAAGACCTGAATCTGACCTTTTGACATCTGTTTTAAAAATGTATTGTCATACAAATGTAGAATTTTTGTAAAAAGGAGCAGCTTTAAAAATTTGCACTAGCTACTAAACACGACTAAAAAACAACCCAAACTGCTAAAGAAAGAGACATATAACGAATGTAAGCTAGCCTAGCTAAAGCTAAATATAACAATTAATTTTTTCTCTTGCTCTTTTATCTTTAAATGAAAAATTAACTGACATCTGGGTATTTCAGCTTTGTATTCCATTTAACTAAATGAGTCAGTCGCTGAACCTAGTCATGATGGAGAAACTAAACACCTGCTAAATGGTAGCTAGCTTAGCATAACTCAGTTGCTGCCATCTCAGCTTTTGACACTGGTGGAATTCATGCGATTTGGTGAGGTTAAGTTCCTTTAAATGACATATTTAAAAGCTTAATTTATTATAACTGAAACAAAGATTAATTTCATTCCTAAACTATGGACTGTAAATAATCAAAATTAAGTCTTTCTTTTAAACAAACTAGTTAAAATGGGCAAAAAAGCTGAAAGAAAATGTTTTCATTCCAATTATTTTTGCCATTAAATCCAGCCTTAACATGTAACTGTTCTTTGCCTTTGTAGAGTAACGCATCTACTGCTCATCGAAAAGACAGTTTCAAATAAGACAATGTCGTCCATGAAGAAAATCCATGTGTTTTTCTGCTGGATGGATAAGTTATTTCACCGTATATTGTATCGTAAAGAAATTGACCTCTGAAACTGAACTGAAGATGCTCAGGAAATGAGGAAACAGTTTGTCAGAGGAACAATTTCTAAAAAAACATTCTCCCTACAGAATTTCTTTTGTTTGTCTTAACTAAGGTAAAAACTTTTCTTAAACAGGTTTGTCATTCACACATGTTGGGACAAAGTGCTATATCAGTATCTGTTGTGTTCATCGGGTTGATTGTTTCCGGACTAGGAGTGTGAATATCAGAACTTTAATCAACTGAATAAAGGCTGACTCACTAATGTCTAATATCAATGGAGTTAGGCAAATTAGACATTTATTTATAGGAAAATGTTGTGGATTATTATTAAATACCAAAGCGTCTTATAAAAACAATATGAACTTCAGATGTTCACAGTGGTGAAACAAGCGGCTAGAAAACATCGACAGCAGCCGATGTTGCCTCACCGGCTTCATGTAACAGACAAAATGGTTGCCATTAAGGCTTTTATTTGCCTTTGTCGACTGCACGTGTGTGTGTGTGTGTGTGTGTGCGTTTTCTGAGGGAAAGAAAACAGACAAATAAAAGGCACTGAGAGGGAAAGATGACCAGCGGCAAAACAAGTCTTCGCCTTAACATCAGCTGCAGACACATAAATTTACACTCATGGTGAACGCCCAACACACACGCATTTATACACACACTCCCAATTCGTGATGTGCATTTGAGGCCTCTTTGTTCCATCTGGTTTTGTTGTAATCAGTGTCATGTCCTTTTGTTTTCTGATTCTATGACAATCTATGACTAAACTTCACATGACATTTGTGTATGCCAGCGTGTAATTACACATAGAGGAACGTGCGGTGACAACAGTTTACAAGAATGTACCATTGCCTGTTTGGGCTTTTATACTGGCCTAGGTGCCCTTTAACTGGGAACCAAGGAACACTTTGATTACATATCCAATCAAACAATCAACGACAGGATAGAATCAGGTTCTAGAATAAATCTCAGTTCAATTTTGTTGTGTTTTTTTTGTATTTTCTATTAAAAAACGACACTGTAGGTGTGTATGTTCTATTGATATTAATGTATGTTGTAGGCATGCATTCCAATGACAGCTCACAGTGTGTCATAAACACTGGAAATGAGATTAAATTGATACACGCCCTCAATTAGAGAAATTAGCCCACACTTATCAAAAATGTTTCCGACTCTTGTCATCACAGACAGATATTTTTCAGTCCTTTTCATGTGCAAAATGTATTTTTATATCATCTTGAAATAAAAGAAATAGCTCAGCTAAGACTTTCAGTGTAAAAGAGCAGACATATGTTGTGTGTTTTTCTATGTGTATCATCTTCCACAGTACCTGGGTCTGCGTCAGGCCCAGTTTGGCCGCCAGGTCGGCCCTCTCGGGCAGGGCAAGATACTGGGTCTGCTGGAAGCGCTGGTTAAGCGCCTGAAGCTGCAGGCTGGAGTAAATGGTCCGAGGCTTCCGGATCTTCTTTCCCTTCCCGTTCAGTCTCACCTCCCCGTTCTCTATCACTGCCGTGGGCTTCTCGTGTTCTGCAGAAGAGGAGGGAGGAGAGCAGTGTTTTAAATATCAACAAGGGGCTTTGAGGGGGGCAGGAGTTTGGCCTTACAGGCGCCGTCCTTCAAAAGATCACAAGATTAGTCAATGGTCATGAAACATTTCAAAATGTTGTGAAAGATAGAAATTCCTGCTTCAATCTATCCTCTGTCACATTTCTGACACCTTTCTTTAAGGGAAGCTTGTGGTGGAGTTTTGCGCTGGTTTCCTCATCATGCTGGGTTTTACTGATTGCTTTTTTTCTATCCCACAAAAATGCTAAAGAAAGTAGAATGTGCGTACTACGAGGAAACAGAAATTCAGGGAGCAGGTCTGTTTTTATACGATATACACGTGGGCTCTATTAGAATGTGATGGAAGTTGTTAAGAAGAAACAGGAACACATTCAGCCTCATATCACAGTGTGTTCTTAAAAAAAAAAAGTTTTTTGTCTAATATGTAGGGACAGGCCATATATGGGCTCAGCCATTTTAAAGTTTAACCATGCACCTAACCATAACCATCTAAAATTGAACTACAGGGATGTGCAATATAACCAAAATGTCATATCCTGGTATAACAATATCAAAAAACCAATATCCAGATAATACACCTTTTCTATAAATCAGTAAAATAAAATGACCACTGTGTCATACAAAGACCACATCCGTGTGACAGAAGTATCCTCGTTTTGTCTTGGCAATGTCGGAGTCTGTCTCCTGTTTCGGAATCACTCCATTCTGCTTCACCTTCACTGTTCTTCCTTTTTTGTTTGTGTTGCCTTCACGCAAATTTCCTGCCTGCATCCGGAAGAATGCAAAGCCTCGTCCAAATGACGAAAAATATTGCTGTCAAGACTGTGATCTTGGACACAACAAAATAAACTATAGAACATAGTGTGATATTTTTATATTGTCATATCTCACAGCCCTAAATTTAACAGCAAAATAGAAAGTGATAATGGTTGGGGCAATTTTGTTTAAATACAAAATATGAGGCTTTTCTATGTGTAATATTGTGTGGTACAATATCATTTGAAATTCTGTGAGTACACTTCAGTATCGTGAAATATAGTGTGTGAGAAGGCTGTAAAATGAGTCTAATAACTATATGACAATGGACGCAGGTAAAAGGATAAATCCACTTTGTTCTCTCCAAAGCATTTCTGGTTCAGCTCAGCTGAGAGGGCTTCTTTTCTTCTTCGCCCTTTTTCAGGAAAGCCATCCGACTGTATGTTCGCCCACGCTGAATATGTTATGACATGAGCTTATAGCCTGCAGTGGCAGGAGAGAACAGCTGCGGACAAGCCGAGGCCCCACAAGACGTTCAGATTCTGTAACTGAGCTGCAGAGTGGCGGCGCGGGCGCACTCAAGTGCATGAGCACTGGAGGAGAGAAAAACAACGGGCCCTTCGAAGAGATTTGACGAAAAAGGAAAAAGTTAACTTAAGAGGGTATACATTTCTGAATGTAAGTCCCGTTAGCTTTAGGTTGTATGTGGAAAAATAATAATGATTGATATATAGTTGTCTAAGCATATTAACACACACACACATATATGTGTGTGTGTGTGTGTGTGTATATATAAATATAAATATATATATATATATATATATATTTATATATATATATAAAAGTACTGAAGTGGTAACTCTTTGCTTTGCCACAAACTGGACCTAAACATTTCATAGAAGTGAGAAAATAAATAAATGACCATAAAGCATTCTTAGTCCACCCAAAAAGCTCCAATAACAGAAATGTAACTGGACTGGGTAGTAGGGCTGAAGTCCTGTCAACACCAATCATAGATACTCAGAATATATAAATCCATTGTGTTTAACATGTTTTACAGTTGACACAAGTAATGCCTCAATATGTCATCAGTTGAGATTAGGATATTTTATAAAGTATAATAGTAATAAAACAACATCAGGTGTGTTCCTATTCAGTCTATTCATCACCGAACACACTGATGATGCTTTATTTGTGGTTAATTACCTCTATTTGCATCGTGTAGAGACAAGCTGAGAAAACCAGCTGAAAGTGCTGATGTGGCGCTTATTGATGTCTGTAGACTATACATTATTATTTTTTTTAAATTAAAGAAATTAAAAATAAATTGTTAATTTGTTCAGCGATTTAAAACGCTGTACACTGAATTTACATGAAAAAGGCACAAAAACAAGTTGGGATAAAATATATACAGGAGTATAATTTAATTACTTATATTTTACTGCTGTATTAAACAATGTAATAAACACTATTTTGTACATGTTTGAACTGTTTTATAATATTATTTAGAGTGATTATTATTAAAGATCTGTACATTTTCCTAGCCACTTGTGTCATTTTTAATTCAGTTTGGCTTCACTGCATCTTTATACATTATGTTACTCTGACAAACATTTTGCTGAAAAAAGCATGCCGTACATGAGGGGTAGAAAAACAAAGAAAGAAAGAAAGACATTTTGACAGAAAAACCAAGACGTGTTTGCCTGTAGTCAAGTTTAAATAGCTAAATGTGTAGAGAAGGACCTGTATTAATATTATTAGTAGTAGTGTATGATCAGACTCTACATCTATTAATAATTCATGTAACATATATGATGGTTGACAAAGGTCCGTCTACATACATGTATCTTAATATATATATGTGTGTATGTAATCCGGATTGCTGCTCTTTATTCCATTGTAGCAGCCGGTCAGATGGTGGAATTCTATGCTTTTGGCGGTGCCTTTTAGTTGCATTAAAGCAATATCACTTTTTTAGAACATAAGCTATCAAATATAACACCATCTGTATATTTAAGTGGTCTGCATTGAATTAGCTTGAAGCCATTAAAATTGATCACAATGGGCCTCGATGGTAAAGGGTTTATAAATATGATGACCAAAAAATAAATGATTAAAGGTGGTGTTATTTAGGAATTCTTTTAATTGATCTGCTTGGTGTGAAAGGTTAGGATTCTTGAAGTATTTTATTTTGAAACTATATAACACTCTATACAGTAAATATTTTGTTCAATTAACATTTATTTTTAAATCGAATTCAACAATTATTTTTCATTTTTCAGTACTGAAAGTAGTGTAATTATTATTATTGTTGTTGTTGTTGTTGTTATAATTGTTATTGTTATTAGAGGTGTCTCGGGGGTGCAGGCAGCAGGCAGGGTGGATGTTATTTGGAGATGATGTGCTGGCTGTGTTTTGAGGCTTTGGCCGCTGCGGGACACCACAGGGCCGGAGTCGGCTGCTTCTTGTGGAGAGTCCCACGGTCTCTGTGGGCCCTCGGCTCATCTTCCGTCCAACCCCAAAGTACACTGAACACGAGGCTGCGGCCGACCTGTGTGTGGATCCAATTATTGCGCTCCGCTGTGGCTTATTTTTTACTCCGAGCATTTTAATGGGCCTAAATAAGACATCTGTGAGGAATAACATTTTGTTTCCTGAGATTTTCCTTTAATTATTTTCTGCGTGTTGTTGCATTTAATGTCCTCTGTGATGCTGCAACCAGCATCTTTTTGACTTGAGCCGCCACACTGGTTTTTATTCGAGACGACGCACAGAATCATGAACAAACATATCATTTTAGCGCGGGTGGGCCCAGTAAAAAGCAAATAAGCCATGCCTCAATTAAACTAAAGCCTCTGTTTTCTTTCTCTGAGATCTTTCCACTCTTCACACGGGGTATGAATATTGAACTCAAACTGTGGATGCAAAAGAAAAGAGCGAACATGAGTGTTCCATATTTGTCCTGCGTAAACCTACCCGCATCCTCCAGTCTGGTGTGTCCAAGCGCGCCGCCGTGACCCCCGTGCTGATAGGGCAGGTAGGCCCCGGGGTGGTGCGCGCTCACGGGGCTGTGATAGGGCGGGTATCCCAGCGGGCGACCGTACGAGGACGCCCCGGAGGAGAAGGGCCCGTCGTGCTGCGAGGGCCCGACGGCGTGCAGACCGTGCACCGGGTAATGGTTGTGGGACAGGCCGGGGGAGGGCTGCTGGTGTCCGGGGTAACCGTGGCCGCCGAACTCCAAAAACGCCGACTTGGACGGATCGGGCGGGACTAAAGTGTCCGATATAGAGCTCATAGTCATCATTGGGGTGAGGGGCAGTGATGTAGCGGGAAATAAGAGGGGTCAGCTATGACCTCCAGGCGGGGGTCATCATAAGACAACCCACCATCAATGTTAAAGTCAGCAGACTTTCAGAGAAGAGTTTCACTTTCCATAAACCGACAGCAGCCGTTGGAAATGGACTTGAGCTTCGATAACTGTCACTGTATTCCTGCTGAGAGAAAGGGCGATAGGACGCGGGTTTATGTGGGTTTGTCCTCCGCTACATCCCGGCTGAAGGGTCCACAAACGCGACGCTCAGTGTTGAACACCATTGACGCGGACAGGACGCATGACAACGTGCAGCCAGGACGGCACTGTGTGAGAAAACACCGCAACAACTCCTGACGAAAAGTCCGTAAAAAAGATTTACTATCCTTCCAGTGGGGTTATTTTCCTTCTTCTCTTCGTCCAAAATAAGCAGTCCGGAGCTTGTTCCCTCCCGTGTTGTGAAGAGGCGCTTGGCAGGAGCAGAGAGGACTGTGTGTGTGTGTGAGAGTGTGTGTGTGTGTGTGTTCCTCCTCTCCGGAGCGCACTGTGAGTCTGCACACACCATCCTCTGCCTCCACTTGGCACACGCAGCGCGCAGCTCATTGGCTGCAGCGCTCCGCCGTGTCACACAAATCACATTGAGCACCGGCCGCGGACCGGCTCCCTCTCGGTTTTTGGCGGACAATGAAGGCCCCACTTCTCAAAGTCTTCAGTAAAACGCCATTTTAACCATTAAAATATCATACCGCAAGCGTGAATATTCTGGATGAAAAAATATCTACCGGTTCCTTTCATGTGGTGATCAATAAATACAATTACATTCAAATAAATAAATAAATAAAAAGATACAAATAAAATACCATAGCCAACAGGACAATAAATGAGTGCTTATAAATGCTAAAATATGTATATATAACATATTATATATATTAAATATAAGCATTATTTTTTGATAAATGAGGATGAGTTATCAATCATTTGATATCTATGAGGAGGTAAATTACTGCTTGTTGCCTTTAGGACGCACTTTAGCTGGAGATATCTGAGTCAGATATCTCCAGCTAATAAGATAATAATATCTAATAATATCTAATATATATGTATATATATATATATATATATATAATAGATATAGGATAATCTGACTATGTTTCTCAGGTAAAATTAGGCTCAACATGTATGCATTATTGCACAAGACTGTATATTTAAAAATAACCACCCATTAATTCTGCGTAGGTTTTAATAAAAATGGACAATGGCGGGTTGGCTCATGAAACGCAGCGGCTCTCCAAAATAAAATTCTTCCAGTCTGCCAAAAAGCAAAATAAGGCGGATCAGACCGAATTATCTTCATAAGCTGCTGTTGAAAGGCCGCAGACCTTATTATCCAAATTATTTTTTATTAAACACACACTTTACACACTGATCCGCAGGAATCTAATTTCTTTTCAATTCCACGTTTGGCTGAATATGGAGCTATGAAGCGATACGACTCTTTCTGCAGGCCTAATCGAGTTCAGCTTGATTTTTATGCCAGTGTAATAATCTTAGAAGTAGTAGAAGAGCGCACGCACGCACGCACACACACACACACACACACACACACACTGACACTGAGGGCACCGCCTGTGGTCCCACACGAGGGACAATTACAACAAACATCGGCCTTCTACAGAAACTCCAAACTTGTGATTTTGGCAGAGCAGAGGCTCGGACACTGTAATTTCACTCAGCTCACGGTCATTATGCTCATCTGCGGTGGAAATCCCGGACTGCTTTCAAATTAAACTGAAAAACCTCAGCATCACCAGATATATGCTGTAAAATACTGTAGGGCAAAGTCACTGCAGCGGAATTATTAGATCCGGATAAATCATTGGAAGTCGCAAGAAAAAAACTGCTATTTAAGTATATCAATAGCATTTATTTGCTAAGAAGAAAATAACTGCAACTTTATAATCTAGTCTTTATTTTACCAAAGTCTCTTTAGTTTCAGGGACAATTTTTGCCATGAATGTAAGGAGACCAGCGACGCACTTGAACGCATCATTACTTTCATCACAATAAACACCAGATGCAATCTGACTTGTAGAGGTGAAGTCGGGTCTGAAAAGCCCACAAGGTCCCATCATGGAGTCAGAGTGTTGTAGTGGGTAGCACTAGTGGGTGCTCGGCTGTGGAAAGTAGTTACAAATATAAAACTACTGTGGTGCAGTTTTGAGGTACTTTCCATTTGATGCTACCTTCACTTCTCAGAGGGAAATGTGCTTTTTACTGCACTGCATTTATCTGACAGCTTTAGTTACTGGTTACTTTTCATTTTCAGATTTGAAAATATTTAATAAACTTGAGTGAATTTTTAAAGCTTGAACCAGTTTCCAAGCTTTTTGCCAGGTGCGCCCTGTCTGTCTGTTTACAAGCTGTTTGCAGTTCCACTAAGGAGGTAAAAGTATCTGATATTTCTCAAAAGTGCCAAAATTAGAAAAAAAAAGAATATAAATTTGTGTAGCAGAATTTTTTCTTCTTTTGTCATCTCGCGACCCCTCATATTTATCTTGTGACCTTCAGAAGGGACCTAGGTTAGGTAGGAGATTAAAACTAGCTGCGATGGTGAATGATGCACACACATATAATAATACATATATTTTGCTGTAAGTACATTTATTGATGATACTCATGTACTTTTACTTGAGTAAGGTTTTCAAAGCAGCCCTTTATTTTGTAGTATAAGTATTTATAATGTGTCGTATTGGTACTTTTACTTAAATAAAGGATCTGAATACTTCTTCTATCACTGCTGTTGCTCTTGGAGGAGTTCATCATACCAACTGGAGGTAAAAGAAGGGTTACACGGACGTTTTCAGACCGGTCCCGAGGCCTGAGGGTCCGTCTTTAGTCACTAATCTCAGTTTTGATGGGACTCTTTGAAGGCTCTGCTGTCACTCCAGCACACACACGCACACAGAGGTAAAGAAAAAAAAGAGACAGATGATGTGTTCTAAAATGCAGATTTTTAAAGGGAGTTGTGTCAATAAAGTTGACAGGATTGAACGTGAAGTATGAATGAATCAATGAATGTCAGCTGCTCCCGTCAGCATTAAGTTGCGTAGCTTTGACAGCGTAATTTTAGTCATGTCAACTGGAAAAAATAATAATTTGAACATACTGTAGACAAAGAGACAGACAGCGAGGAGGACAGCGCACACACACAGACAGCAGAGTGAGAGATGTTTTGGCATGTTTCTTCCTCGTTTCTCCTCTCCTGCCTCTAGGATCCGGCTTATTATACGAACAGGCTGATGTGTGGAGAGTTACTACACATCCCAGCCTGCGCTCCCGCTTTCATCTGCGGCCAACATTCCTCCCCTCCCTGACTTCACCTCTGCGAGCGCCGGGCACACCCTCCTTGCTGTGTGTCAATGCTATTATTTAGTGGCACAATCTTGCTAAGTCGTCAAATTTTCGTTCAGTTTTTTCTCACTCACGGGCTGAACTTGGCAGGGCTGGAGAGAGGTGCAACATGGGAGCAAATTATCACTCTTTTAAAAACTCTATTGTGCAAGTCTTAAAATTAAAGGTTCTTTTTAGGCCCAGGGGTTCCAAGCATCCGATGGTTCCCAAGCTGACTTCAATCGCAATGTCAAGAAGTACTTGACTTCGAATATATGTTGCTAAACTAAATAATTCTTCTAAAATCATTTGGAAAGCAGTTGCAAGACTCTTTGTCACATTTAACATAAAGGTGGTTCAAGTATTACTCTTGCTGCATTGTGCGTTTTGACGTCAACAAACATGGGTGAATTTACCACTTAGGTACATTGCTCTCTGATTCAACGGGCAACATAGGCTAATGACTGCGTTCAAACAGCCGCTCTAATTTTTTGGCCTGCAGGGAGGCAATTTGTCATCCGTGTCAAGTGGGAGATGAGTTACTGTCCGACAGCAAGAGATGGAGCTCATACACACAGTAGCTTGTGGGAACACATGCAGGTCAGTTTACACCTTCAGGGAGAACGAAGGAAAGCGAGGAGGAGGGGAAAGAGAAAAGGCAAATCAAATGAGTCTGTTTCCATGCGTCTGAAGTGATTTTCACAATTTATTTTGGATAAAAGTTAACTCATTCTTGTTTCCTGTAACCAACAAACTCTGAGCAAAAGATGTGATAGAAAACTTTGATCCTACTGACAAGTATATCATCGTTCATTCGATATATAATGTATTCCTCTGTGCTGCAGAGCTCCGTTGCACTGGGTATCATTTTCCCTTATTACCATGAACACACTGCAGTTTATTTAGAGCCATCCTGCTGCCAGAGATAATCACTAGTTCCCAACAAAGGCACGGTTTGTTGCAAATTATTTAGCCTTTTTTAAACTATATTTGTGATCTGTTTTTAAAGATTTATGTCTCCTGGAGAACATTTTGGCTCAGAGTTGAGTATGGAGTGATTTGGAAATAATGAAAGATGGACTAACACTGTTGGTTTTGGTCTAAAGATTATTGAATGTATTAAAAATCTCTCCTGTTTGTATTGTTATGGAACCAGGAGTTATAAGATTTGACAAAGGAACCTACATATAAACGGTACATATCTTAAAGCTATCTTAGAGCTGAATTATTGGCGACTTGAGGGCAGCAGAACAAGAACAAGCTAGACTGATGAGAGCAGTGAAAGTGAACCAACAACAAAAAGCTGCTGACCGTAAAACAGAAACAATGAGCTGAAAGATGCTAAAACGGTCTGTAGAGCTGAAGGTAACTGGATTTTGGTGACAATCCTGGGTTTGTCACTACAAATTAGGGCTGCCCTGACTAAAGATTTTCTTAGTGGATTAGTCGTAGTTAGTTAAAGCCAATAGTTAAATTAAACAAATTAACTTGATACAAACTCACCGCTCCTGTCCCTCCCTAAACCCGCCATGTCTTTGTCATCCCGGAGTCCTGGTTGGAGCTGCTAAATCATTTGGCCTCAGACGGTTTCTGAGGCTGTGAACCCGATTCTGTTGCCCACGCACTCAGCTCCAGTTATGGTGCTGATTCTCCTATGCTAGTGCCTATACTAGTAGTGTAAACAAACCTCCCTCTGCTCCCAGTCCAGATAGATACTGTGTTACAAAAGCAAAGGTCTGTGTTGGTCCACATACTTTAGCTCCTGCACGGAGTTTGACATTGTTGTTTTCTGTGACTATCTGACGAATAAAAAATGGATTAAGTAAACCTGTCTCAGTAATGGTTTAGTCAACTATAAGGGGGCGGGCCTGCTCGAATGACACCTTTTAAAATTATACATAGTTATTTCATACATTGTTAATAAAAAAATATTAATTGGTGCAGCTTTAACATAACATCTAAAAGTATAAGTAATGCGCTTGTGATCTACTGAACTTTTGGAGTTGTCATGATTTCTATAAATCTCTCTGTTTCCCTATTGTTTGTGTCTGTGTCTTTTCGTTATATAATCTTATTCCTATGGCAACATTTCACCCTTCTCTTACATTTTTACAGTT